TTTCTTGAAGAACACATGAATGTCATTTTCTCTTTCTAAAATCGAGCTTCAAAATGATGCATGGCTTACAAATCATTTTCAATCATGCAATGCAATAACATAAATATAAAGAACATCATGAGCGGATCAAGAATCTAACCTTAGAACACGAATCTAACGGTTCGATCTCAAGGAATTAAGCTTGAAGACTTACTTCTCACTCTAAAACTCCTTCTTCCTCCTAGAGCTTCTCTCTCTAAAAGGCAAAGTTAAGATACCAAATGATGAGTGTTCTCACTCGGTTCTGGGCTTAATCCTTCTGCTGAGACACGTGGCGGCGACTGGTTGGGTTTTCCCTGAAAAGGTGGCTGACAGGCCAGACAAAGCATGGTGGAAGGGTGTTCAACAAGTAAAGTGGTATGGGCTTTCTGACGAGGCAATGACGTCGGCTAACAAAAGGACTTCGGCAACTAAGGTGACAATGACCTCGGCTAGGAAGGACAACACTTGACTAAGCTGTGCCACATCTTGGCCTAGATGCGCCACACCTCGGCCTAGGTCATACCACTCCAGGACGAGATCACTTGGGTGCAAGGTAACATCTCGGCTAATGTGGTCAAGGTAAGGACGGAGGTCAACAAGGGGTTCCAAGATACTACTACAAGATTAAGGATGACCTCGGCTTGGAATAACATCGGCTAGTATAACTCGGGCAAGGCGTGACCTAAGTTTCACATCAAGGAAGGAACAAGGCAAGCATACTACATTTAGACAAATCACAAGGCTTCAAAACAAGGCATGGATCACATTAACTCAAGCGAAACAAATCACAACATACACATGCAAGCTAAACAAGTCATAATCACACAGATGCTCATGAACATGATGAGAACATAAAATATGGGTTCCTACAGACTAGGTGATCTTGATTCTAGCATCCTATTTCTTTTAATGTGTTTAAATTGTATTCTGATTTTGTTTTGTTTGTTTGTTTGTGTTTTTAAAAACTTTTAAAGCGGGAACTCCTTATTGGAGAGAAGGAAGGTCTTATCCAGTTGCCATCAGACAAAGCCCTTCTGGAGGATCCAATATTCTGTCCTCTGGTTGAAAAATATGCCGCAGTATGTATATGTTCTGCATTTTTAATTTAGAGGTTCATTTAGTTTAATTTGAAATGGACTCTCTTGATATAATTTGGTTGAGAAATATCTAACCTGGTGCTTGAAATATTGCTTTAGGACAAGAATGTTTTTTTTGCAGATTATGCTGAAGCTCATTTAAAGCTCTCCGAGCTTGGGTGAGTGAAAAAGGGTCATTTTCTGCTATGCCCCTTTTGTATTATTCCATGCATTTAGTAAATCATTCTGACTTCACTTTGTCTGCACTTGATTTAGATTCACGGATGCTAAGTGACGGGGATGGAAAAAGGCTGGCTGTTGTGTGCTGTCTGGTTTCTGGAGTCCGTTTTATTCCTTCTACACGTAAACTTGCTTGAAAGTCAGTAATTGTGAGTTCAGGCTGTCTTTGTCCTTGTTTGTGTGAAATATATCTGTAACAATATGTGATGTGTATGTTCTTTGTTGCTTACCAAGATTAGCATCATTTTTATCTTAATAAATAGGTTTACATATATTAGTTGCTGAGCTTTACTTTATTCATATCTTTCCATGTACCTTGAAAGTCTGTTTAATTATGTTTTTGAGTAGTAGATGGAAGCAACATGGTTTATCTCCATTCTGCAAATTATATGCTATCAAATAAAATAAAATTTGGGCCTCTTCTCTGCTTTAGGTTTATCAAGTTTCTTTTGTAGTTTTGTTAACATTTCTTATGCTCGAGATTGATGACTTTCATATTCCCAATTTCCGTTTGTGAAAACTTGTCTTTTATAAACTCTTTTTTCTAACCGGTTGACACTAAAATAGTTCACTCACTAAAATGGTCAAACGGCGTTGGATATCAACGAAACTTGAGACACACTACTAACTAGGCACAAATGACTTGTACGAAAAGACGAGACTTGAAACCGATTCTCAGTTTTGAATCTGAAGCCTAATTTTCGTTTGTGAAAACTTGTCATTTACAAACTTTTTATCCAATTGGTTGACTCACTAAAATGCTTAAACGGCTTTAGATGTCAACGAAATTTGACACACATGACTAACTAGGCTCAAACCACTTGTAGGAAAAGACAGGACTCGAAACTGATTCTTGATTTTGAATTTGGAGCCTAATTTCCATTTATGAAATTTTTTTCTTTAGTAACTCTTTTTCCGAACCGATTGAGTCACTAAAATGGTCAAACGACTTCGGATGTCAACGAAACTTGACACACAGGACATACTGCGCAAACATGACTTGTAGGAGAAGATGGGACTCGAAACCAATTCTCGGTTTTGAATATAGAGCCTAATTTCCATTTATGAAAACTTGTTCTTTAGTAACTCTTTTTCCGAACCGGTTGACTCACTCAAATGGTCAAACAGTTTCGGATGTCAATGAAACTTGACACACACGACATACTAGGCACAAATGACTTTTAGGAGAAGACGAGACTCGAAACCAATTCCTTGTTTTGAATATAGAGCCTAATTTCCGTTTATGAAAACTTGTTCTGTAATAACTCTTTTTCCGAACCGGTTGACTCACTGAAGTGGTCAAACGGTTTTTGATGTCAACAAAACTTGTTGCACACGACATACTAGGCATAAATGACTCGTAGGACAAGACAGGACTCGAAACCAATTCCCGGCTGTGAATATAGAGTCTAATTTCTGTTTATGAAAATTTGTTCTTTAGTAACTCTTTTTCCGAACCGATTGAGTCACTAAAATGGTCGAATGGCTTCGGATGTCAACGAAACTTGACACACGACATACTAAGCACAAATGACTTGTAGGAGAAAACGAAACTCGAAATTAATTCCCAGTTTTAAATATAGGGCCTAATTTCCGTTTATGAAAACTTGTTCTTTAGTAACTCTTTTTCCGAACCGGTTGACTCACTAAAATGGTCAAACGATATCGAATGTCAACGAAATTTGACATGACTAACTAGGCACAAATGATTTGTAGGAAAAAACGAGACTCGAAACCGATTCCCGATTTTGAATCTAGAGCCCAATTTCCGTTTATGAAAACTTGTTCTTTTGTAACTTTTTTTCGGAACCGGTTGACTCACTAAAATGGTCAAACGTTTTCGAATGTCAACGAAACTTGACACACATGACATACTAGGCACCAATGACTTGTAGGAGAAGACGGGACTCGAAACCAATTTTCAGTTTTGAATCTAGAGCCTAATTCCCGTTGATGAAAACTAGTTCTTTAAAAACTCTTTTTTCGAACTGATTGAGTCACTAAAATGGTCAAACAGCTTCGGATGTCAACAAAACTTGACACACAACATACTAGGCACAAATTACTTGTAGGAGAAGATGGGACTCTAAACCAATTCCCGGTGTTGAATATATTTCGTTTATGAAAAGTTGTTTTTTAGAAACTCTTTTTCCAAACCGGTTGACTCACTAAAATGCTAATACGACTTTAGATGTCAATGAAACTTGACACACGATGTATTAGGCACAAATGACTTGTAGGAAAAGTCGGGACTCAAAATCGATTCCCGATTTTGAATCTGTAGCCAAATTTTTGTTTGTGAAAACTTGTCATTTACAAACTCTTTTTAGAACCAGTTGAGACACTAAAATGGTCAAACAGCTTCACATGTCAATGAAACTTGACACACACAACTAACTAGGCACAAATGACTTGCAGGAAAAAAGTAGATTTGAAACCAATTCTCAATTTTGAATATAGAGGCTAATTTTCGTTTATGAAAACTTGTTTTAGATACAACCCTTTTGAGTACGTGATGATATATCTTCGCATATCGATATTGGAGCTTGCAATCTTATTTATTTATTTTTTGAAATAAATGTCAAATGTTTTAAGCTTGAAATTAATTATGTTGTAAATGATGGTTTATTTATTTATTTTTTTGCAAATGCAACCTTTTTGAGTACGTTATGATATCTTTGTGTGTCGATATTGGAGCTTACTATTGATATCAAAACAAGCTATAGTATATGTGTTTTTTTTATTTGTATTGTTTGATACTTTTGTTTTGTTTTAGATACAAAAATTTGAGTTCTTGAATATCAAAATTTATTAGTATTGTTGGAGGATGTTTTATATATTTTTGTAAATAATATTGGGTTGACAATTGTTAGAGGGTACATACATATTATTCTTGGTATATGATTTTGCGGATGAGGATGTTGATGCGGATGCGGATGTATTTTATTTAGAAAATATTTATAATTTGTACAAGAGAATGAATTAATAAAATATATATTGATTTTATGAAAATAATTTTATTGCGACAATAATAAACTGTCGCTAATGTAATCATAAATTTCTTACATTTTATTAATGACCGATTAACTTGTCACATATTAATATTAGCTTAATTCTTTTGCAACGGTTAAACTGTCACACATGGTATTAATTTAATTTTATGTTTTTGGTGATGTTTTAGTTCGTCGCTAATAATATTTTTCGTTGCTAAAAAAAAGTTTTTGCGACGACAATCAACATCGTCACTAAAAGTGAATTTTTTTTTCTCTTTTTTTGTGTCAGGTTAAATCGTCGTAAAAATCATTAACTGTCGTTATAAGAAAGCGACGGTTTGTAACCTGTTGCAAATACTTTTTGCCATGCCCCCCTCCTGTAACTCCCCATTTCCTGTTGCTACTCCATTGTAAAATGTCTTTTGCAACGATATGTAAATCTTTTGCGACGTTTAATAGCATCGCAAAAACTCTGGCTTTTAGTAGTGATTCTTATAGGTAGCCACTGGTGATGGAATGGTAATGGCCCATAGAGCCCAAGCTGTGATTTCCAACATGGAATACGTAATCATTGATACATGCAAAAATGAATTAATTCCTTATGATTGTTGTGTCAAACTTTATTTTTATATTTTTTTAAAAAGGACAATTATGTTTTACCAAATGGATTACTGTCTTAATATTATGTGCAAGGGTTCAAAGTGCAAAGATGCCATGAAATGAAACCTGACTGTCCTGTTTATCTGCATGGTGTAATTGTAATGACTTGGTCAAGAACAGTGATCAAGTCGTTTCTTCAAAATTTTATTTTTTATTATCATGAAGTGGGTGAAAACATATATTCTATAATATTTTCAATTTTATCTTATTATCATCTAGTAACCTGGATATAGACTTCATCTCATTTTGTATGATACATGGATTAATTTCAGGCAAACCATTAGATTAGTAACTGAGGTCTGTTGCATTATTTTGTTGCCAAATTTGTTCAGTTCCAACCAATTGCCTTGGCCGATGAAGGCCTTCCCATCACACCAACCAAGACTCGATAAAATGCTTTTTTGATCACTGAAGGTGTCAGAGATGATATAGGATTACTCTACAATCTAGGCATGGAAAGATTCATGCCCCTCTACGATGAGAGGGTAGAGCTTGCTCCTAGGGATGTGGTAGCTAGAAGTATTGATGATCAACTCAAGAAATGCAATGAGAAATATGTGCTACTTGATATAAGCCACAATCCTAGAGAAAAAATTCTCTCGCTCTTCCCCAACATAGCTTCTGAGTGCCTAAAATATGGCCTAGATATAACCCGTCAACCAATTCCAGTGGTTCTCGCTACTCATTACATGTGTGGAGGAGTTCGTGCAGGAGTACAAGGTGAGACAAAGGTGCATGGTTTATACGTGGCTGGTGAGGTTGCTTGCACAGGTTTGCATGGAGCTAACCAACTTGCTAGCAACTCATTGCTCGAGGCACTAGTTTTTGCTTGAAGATCTATGCAGCCTTCCATAGATCACATGAAGAGCTCTAAAATTGACCACAGTGCTTTAGATTGGTGGGATCGACCAGTTGTGCCCATGTTGCTTGGAAGAGATGTACTGTATAGAATTGTGAGGAGAACGAGGTAGGTGAGGAAGGAATTACAACCAATTATGTGGCAATACATTGGCATTGTTCGATCAACAATGAGGCTACAAACTGCAGAGTAGAGGATTGGGGAGTTGGAGTTATAAGTTGGGAGGCGTACTTGTTTCAGCGAGGTTAGGAACCCCAACTATATTGAGGCTTGTGAAATGAGGAATCTGTTTTGTTGTGCAAAGCTTGTGGTTAGTAGTGCCCTAGAAAGGCATGAAAGTTGTGGGCTTCATTACATGACTAAATTTCCCCAACGTTGAGGAAAGCAAGAGGTTGCCGACTATCATCTTCCCTTGTTCCTTTGAATGACACATGGAGTCGCGGCAACCTCACAAACAACACACATTGTAGTCTTTGCTAGTGTGTATACACAGGATTTAACTCACCATGTAATTTGATTTTTCAATTTAAATATACATTAAAAATTAAAAATTTGAGTAAATTCTGGAGACAAACTTTATGAAAAAAAAAATTAGTATGTTTGTTTTCAATTTTCTAAATTCTATTTTTTGAAAATTGAGTATTTTGTTTTTTGTGTTTTTTTTTTTTTTTAGTAAATATTTTTTAAATTTTAAATAATTTTTTTACTTTTTTAAATGCACCTTACATAGAAGGAAAATTGGTCTAAGATCCCTACCTAACTTTTAGTATGAAGAGAGATCCATAATAATATTTTTTGATGCCTAAGATCTCTCAATGTTATTTTAGTTTATAAAATACTTATTTTACCCTTCTTTATAATATACGGTTTTCAATTTTGGAAACTGAAGATTACATTGCTATTTTTGTAGGAGATTACGTTGGGATGAACTTGACGATGGAGATTTTGATGATGTAGATTTTCGTGGAAATTTTGTCGGGATTTTCTAGTCGTGTAGAAGTTGATTTTCGTTAATTGTGTAGAAGTTGATTTTGTAGTTGTGTAGAAGTTGATTTTCGTTGATCATATAGAAGTTGCTTTTCGTTGATCGCGTAGAAGTTGGTTTTGTAGTCGTGTAGAAGTTGATTTTCGTTGATCCTGTAGAAGTTGATCGCATAGAGGTTGATTTTCAGTGGAGTTGAATCAGGTACGTTTTTTCGATTTTTCATTTGATTTGTATGTAAGGACTCCGATTTCAGAGAAGTTTTTCTATTGTAATTTGAATTAGGTTTGTGTTTTCAGTTTTGATCAATGTGAGAGAAAAGTCAGCTCAATGTAGTTGTTTTTGAAGTTGATTTTTTATTCTTTGTTATTGACGATGGAGTTTTCTACACTTTACTAAGTTTTGTGCTTTGTTTTTTTTGCACTTTTCATTTATTCTGCACTTTTGATTTTTCTGCACTTTTCTTTGTATTCTAAAGAAAATTGTATATTTGTTATTATAATCTAATAGAAATCACAGAGAAAATTGTAGGCTTGTAGTTCAGAGAAAATTGAAAGCTTGTAGTTCAGTGAAAATTACAGAGAAGATTATAATTTTATAACAGATTTTCTCTGTGATTTTTGCGAGTGATTGTGTTTAATAGTTAGCATTAATTTTCTCTGTGATGTTCTATGGACTCATTAATTTTCTTTGTGATTTTGTTTTTGTTATATTGAAGGTGAATATGAATTTGTAAATTTCTCTAGATTTTGATTCGAGTCCCATACTGTACAATCACACAGAGAAGATTATAATTTCATAATAGATCTTCTGTGTGATTTTTGTCTATGATTGTGTTTAATAGTTAACATTAGTTCTCTCTGTGATTTTCTCTGGACTCATTAATTTTCTCTGTGATTTTGTTTTTATTATCTTGAAGTTGAATTATAAGTTTGTAAATTTCACTGGACTTTTATTTGAGTCTAGAGAAAATTATAAACTTCTTATTATAATTCGGAGAAAATTATAGAAAACACAAATTTCTCTAGACTTGTATGTTGTTCTTGTGAAGTGTTTTTATATTGAACAAGTTATTTTTCGTGTTTTTTCTTTCAGTTTAGATGGACAGTACAATGTTGTTGCTGCGCAAATATGGGAATTATACTATTGTCATTAATGTTTCATGCGAATTGAATTTTGAGAAATTGGTTGGCATTTTGTGTAAATCATAGGAGAATTTGAAACCTGAGACGATGTCTATTTCATATTCTATTGTGGGCTATCTGAATTGTATGGTTTGAAATAATATTGATTTTCTGAATATGTTGAGGGTTGTTTGTGCACGTGGTGTTAATATAGTTGATGTTTCAGTTATTAGGTGTAGTACTTCTGATCAAGAAGCTGAAGTGGGGTCTAGATGTTGTGCATGGTGAATGTGATAGGTTCATGGATATTAAAAGGAATTCACTCTCTAAGTTTTATTCTCACCAAGTAAATGTGCTATTGTCAGCTGGTTGGCAAAATAATATTACGAGTGTTGGACAAAAGTTTGAGGGTGGTATGGTTGAGTTCCGTACTGTTTTGTGCAAGTATGCTATTGAGGTTGGTTTTCAATTTATGTATGTTAAAAATGACAAGCTGAGGATTACGGCAGAATGTGCATATATTTGCATATAAGGAATCAATGGGATATATGTGGTGTGTACATGCTTCAGTTGAAAAAACAAATGGGTTCTTTTACATAAGAACTTTGAACAATGAACATACATGTGGTGTGGTTATTCGTACTAATAAACATGCTAGGATGACTTCCAGCTTAGTTTCTAGGCTAATACTTGAAGAGGTAAGTGCAAAACCTTTAACTCATTCAGTGGATGTTGTCAAAGAAATAAAAGACAAGTATGAGGTCTCAATAAGTTATAACTGTGGTTAGTTGGGGGTTAAAAAAGTCAAATGTAGTACATATGGGGATTCTTATTTGTCATTTGATCAATTATAATGGTGTTTTGATGAGGCATTGAAGAACAATCCAGGTAGTCGTTTTGAGTTAGATTTTGAAGATAACAAGTGTTTCAAAAGAGTTTTTGTGGCTTTTCATGCATGCATTGCTGGTTTCACATATTGTCGGTCATTATTGTTTCTTGATGTAACATTTTTGAAAGGACGATACAAAGGAATTATGCTTGCTGCGACGAGAAAAGATGGGAATGAAGGTAAGTGTAAATATATCTAATTTTCTCTAAGCATGTGAATGTTCTATACATGTAGGAATTGAGTGAATTTTCTATTTTTGTGGTTATGTTTTGTGATTTTTCTCTGCCATTTTGAATTTTCTCTGGAGGTGGCCACTTGTGAATTTTTTCTGTAGTTGGTCACTAATTGAATTTTCTTTGGATATTACCATTGTGTGAATTTTTAGTGAATTTTCTCTGGATGTTGCCACTGTGTGAATTTTCGCTGGATTTGGCCACTGTGTGAAGTTTCTTTGGATGTTGGCAATGTCAAATTTCTTTGGTTGTTTATTGTTCTAATTTTCTCTGTATGTGTATATCTAATATGCTTGTTCCTATTTGTTTTGTAGGTTTTTTTCCTAAAGCTTTTGCTATTGTTGATGTTGGGAATAAAGACAATTGGTGTTGGCTCCTTGAACATTTATGTGAAGTATTGGGATCGGAGAGGGTGATAAGTTTCATATCAGATTGACATTGTGGTATAGTGGAAGGAATTGCCAGGTTTTTCTCTAATTGATATCATGGATTTTGTCTTGAACATCTAAAGAGAAATTTGAATGATATGTTATCATGTGGAAACACAAATTTGTTTAAGGAGACAATTATGTCCAAGGTTTCAGAATGTGCATATTCGCCAACAAAGGACATCATTTCATTTCAAGTTAAATGAATTAAAAAGTGTGAAAGGAGACATTGTGAGTGTTTTCTTGAGAAGTTTACCATATAAAAATTGGAGTGATGCATATTTTGAGGAGAAATGTCATGGTGAAATGTATTCAAATGTTGCTAAGTCATTCAATTCATGGATACAAGAAGCTCGGCACTTGCCAATAACAAATTTGGTGGACATGATACGGTTGCAAATCATGAATATGAGGTTCGATAGGAGGCTATTTTCTAATAAATAGAATAAGGTTCTATGTCTTCGTATGGGTAGTGTGTTGGAGAAGGCTTTCATTGGTAAGAGGGCATGGAATGTGAGTTTATCATCTGATAATGTGTTTAAAGTGCACTGTTTTCCTTCGGTTATGGTTAATCTTAGGTTGATAATTTGTTCACGTCGAAAATGGAAAACAAATGGGTATCCATGTCAACATACTATTGCTGCAATTTTTAGGAGTGGAAAAAATTTGAATTCATTTGTTGAATACTCGTTTTTGATTGGTACAGTTCCAACTGTTGAAAAACCTATGTGTAGCATTGATGATGCTATGTTTTTA